GTTTTTGCTTAGTTATGAAGCCTAAATCTATTGCAACATCATCTAATTCATGATGTTGATAACGATTTGGTGAAGTATAGGGTCTGGTTGACAATATCTACTATATATGTGTCTTGTCGACGCTGCATTTTTCTTTTCAACACTCGGTAACTTGATGAACTCAACGAGTGATCAAGTACTTAATTGGCTCGACCACCCCGGAAAATATTCAAGCTGGGAGAGTACTAGCTTGACAAACACCACAAAATAGTTAGTTGTGCGCTTTTTACGAGAGAAAAAATATAATGATGACGAGTTTCAATTAGGTAAATTGATTGTGTCATTTGTCGAATGTATTTTAAAAGAAAATGTTTAAATATGTTTAACTTTCACTTTAATGTTTAAAAGTGGACCATTTTGAAACTTTCAAGAAAACAAATGATATTGATTTTATAAGTAGACCCAACGTCCTGAATCATAAATTCAATCCCTTTTGAATTATATCCTTTCTAATTTTAATATTTTCTAAAATGGTCTATCAAAAGAACCCTAAATGATCCTATGTTATTTATGTGCCTTGTTGAAAATGGTTGATTTAGTACTAAGTGAAAAAGGAGAAAATAAAGAATATAAATTCTACAAAGCCTAACTTCTATACTATTGAGGATGAAATCCATTCTTGGTTGTTAGGTGTTTGTTAGGTCACGTGATTGCTCGCCCGATTTTAATAGGTTGTTAATGCTGTGCATCATATGATATAAAAAAGAAATCATGTAACGGAGGTCCCAAACCTTTAATATAGTGTATATTACACCAAAACCTTTAAATCGTAGCAAATAGTTCTGAAACTTTTCAAAATTGAAGTGTGGAAACTGGAAAGAACTTTGGATGGTTTTCATCCAAAAACCCATTGAGTGACCAAAAGTCAATATTTGACCATAATTTGATCAATTTTAAAAAGCGCAAAAATATTCATTTAAACTTTAATTAATTAAAAAATAATAACTTATATCGAAAGTCCCAAATCTTTAAAAAATATGCACTGCAATCCCAAATCTTTAATAAATGTGTGCCGAAATAATCACTAAACGGATTCACACAAGTCCCGATGTAAATAAAAAAAGAAAATTGTAGTAGAGGTCCCTAACCTTTTTAATTTATGCAAACTTTATCATAACCTTCAATTTCTGCCAACATCGGTCCTTAACCTTTCAAAAATATGCATATGAAGTCCAAATGGATGGAATCCGTCCATTTTTCCGTTAATTGACCAAAAAGTGAATTTTAACCAATTTTGACCAAAATAATATAGTAAAATGGTAACTTTAAAATTAAGCACTTGCAATTTAGCGCAGAGTGCCTAAGTTGAAGGCGGTGGTTCAGAAAATGAATTCGAATGAGCAACCGCAGACAAACATGATGTCATCACCCAATTCACCAAGAAAATGAACTAGGAGGACCATCGTGGACAAACACCATGTCATCACCCTTTGATTTTTGAATTGAATTAGGTGCTTCTACCATGTATTATCCGAATTAAATCTAGATATTTTAAAGTAAATTTTGGTAGAAACTTGCATATTTATTTGATGATGGATTTAGGGATGTTGTTGTGGTGAAGGTTGGTACAAATAGTGGTTCTTTGGAGACGACAGTGGCAGCTGTAGCCGTAGGTTTGGTTTGGTTTGGTTTGGTGGGGCGGGGTGAGAAAGAAGAAGACATCTTCTTCCATTTTTTCTTCTTCTAATTTTTGATGTAATATATTTAATTGTTTATAATAGAAAAATGTAAAGTTATCATTTTTCCCTTAAAAATAGTTAAAATATGGTCAATATTTTTTTAAGTCAACTAACAAAAAAGTGGACGGATTCCATCCATTTGGACTCTAGATGCATATTTTTGAAAGCCTAGAAACCGCTATGGTACAAATTGAAAGTTAAGATAAAGTCTGCAAATATTGAAAATGTTAAGGACTGTTGCTGCAATTTTTCCTTACTAAGATAATAACTTTGTTGTCAAGAAATACATATTAGTTCCAATATCATTCAACCTCTACTCTTTTTACTTGAAGGGGTTGGGTTCCTAGAATCACTCAACACCTAGGGGCAGACACAGCCTAAGCCCAGTGTAGGCATCTACCTGTACTGAGTTTTGGGCCGCCCCATTATTTTCAGAAACCCAAATCAAAAAAAAAAAAAACAAGTGGGCCAATTATTTGGCCCAAACGGTATGATAGAAGCCCTACAATCCAATACCAACAAAAACTGAGAACTCTCTAATAGAGCCCTACAATCCCCTGCAATCTGCATCCACATTCCACCTTGCACTGCGCAGCACGTCCCCTGTTTTCATCAGCTAGGAGCCCAGTAGGCGAGTTTTCTATAATTTCTATTGATATTCATCTGCTATTGGCTGTTTTCACAAGTGTTGTTGGGTATTCATCTGCCGTTTGCATCTCGATCTGGCAGCCTATTGAATTTTCTATCGTGAATTTTCTGTCATAATTTTCTCGGTCTCGATTTGGCTGTTGGGACTTGGGTGTTGGCTATTCACTGTTGCCTGTTTCAAACATTCAGTGTTTCTGTAACTCTGTTTCAGACTTTGGGGAACATTTTGATTTGAAACCAACTAACCAAAACCAAGTAATGCTATTCAATAAATTTTGAAACCAAGCAAGAAGCAACTAGTTGGAAAGACATGTTTGGGATATTCTCATATAGAAGTCTAAAATTGAGGAAATTAATTGTAAGGTATTTCATTTTATTATAATATTTGTGTTATAAATTTTTTTATTAATAATGCCGCACTGGAAAAATTTCCTGGGTCCGCTCCTGATTTCAATCCCATAGCTTTTTACATGAACACACCATTCATTCCCTTGGTTGATTCTTATTTCCTTTATTTGACTTTTACTTCCCCTAGTTGTTATTATTGTGCTCCTTAGACGGTTTGTAATTAATTGGGGAAACTTAATCATTGTAAGTAGCTTATTTTGAATTAAATAAAGCGTAATTAGCACATAACGTCCTCACATTTCATTGTTATCGTGGAAAACATCATAACCTTTCATTTTTTTTGGCATTTTTACCTTTATTTCCATATTTCATTGCGTAAAATATCATTTTCACCTATTTTCTCAATTACAAATTATGAAATGATGAATATACTCATCTCATTAAATAAAACAAAAAGAAAAAGAAAAAAACTAACTGCAACCATTTAAAAAGTTCAAATAAGTCACAAATAAATTATTAAAATGGTAATTAGTACATAATGTCCATATCTTTCACCGTTATTGCAAAAAAATGTCTCTACCTTTCTTTTCTTTTTTCAGCATTTTTACCCTTAATTACACATTTGATTGCGTCAACCATCATTTTTATCTATTTTCATCCAATTTCTCAAAAAAAAAATCTGTGAAATGACGAATATATCCTTCTATTTAAATAAAAAGCTTAAGATTAATTGCAATCATAGTCCCATTTTTTTTAAAAAGTGCAAACAAGTCCCTAATAAATTATTTTAAAATTTTAATTTTTTTAAAAAAAGTACAAAAGGGTCCCAATTAAATTTCTTTAAAAATTAAAAAATGCAAACGAGTCCCAAATAAATTATTAAAGAATTATAAATTTAAAAAATATATTTTTTATTTAAATAGAAGGATATATTCATTATTTCACAGTTCTTTATTGAAAAATTTGATGGAAATGATGGTTCGCACAATCAAATGTGTAATTAAGGATGAAAATGTCAAAAAAAAAATAAAAATGAAATGTATGAACGTTTTTCGCAATAACGGTGAATGATATGAGCATTATGTACCATTTTAATAATTTATTTATGACTTATTTGCACTTTTTTTTAAAAAATTCGAGACTGTGATTGCAATTAGTTTTTTCTTTTTGTTTTATTTAAAGAGATGAATATGTTCGTCATTTCATAAATTTTAATTGAAAAAATAGGTGAAAATGCCAAAAAATAAACGGTATTGACGTTTTCCACTGTAACAATAAAAGGTGATAACGTTATGTGTTAATTACCCTTGAATAAAATATTGCTAAGAGTTTTTCTCATTTTTCGGTTGATTATTTGGTATACATTCTCGAATCAATGTACTTTTGATTACCAAATTCCTGGTATTTGAAGGTGTTTGTTTCGTAAGCATCCAGATGCTCTAGTGGACATAAACCGTGCAAGCTTTGTGGTTTCGAAGAAGTGACAAAGAAACAATAGTTAGAAAGGAGTGTAGGAATGGTATGGATTGCACGCGAAGCATTCCAACTCTCGACTCATCTAAAGAACGAATTGGATCTCTGTATTATTGATCTACTAGTTGGTTCATAAAATTCAATGACTAGCCTCAATTCAAGTCAAAATTAGATGAGAATTCAAAATGATTCCACAACATGTTGCCATAGCTTCACTTTCCTCAAATAAAAATTACCCCACCAAAAAGTAAGCCAAGACTATAGTCGACCTTCAACTCCATCCATTCAGACTGATAAGCAAAAGGTTAGAGAGAAATGACTCGGAGTTGGAGGTCCTAGTATCGAACGAGACCTGTAAAAGAGTAGCAAAAAGTGACACTTATAAGTTATAACATTGTCTCAAGAAATTTAACAGATGTTACAAACATATAAATCGACCCACTAAGGTTTCTAGTTACAACCAACCAAACCCATAAGTTGGACCAATTTGAAGTGAGAAGTAAGTAATGTGGAGCTTGCTAAGTCACCTCGAAATTTGAAACTAATGATGGTACTAAAGAAAACGAACTTTCTAAACTAATGTTATTCAATATGAAGTATAAGAATTTGTAGACATGACATGGTCAAGCCGGGTGTTACAAAGCTAAATTCAAGAATCACAGTTTCCATTGATACAAAACAGCTAAATTTTCGAGCAACGTAATTGAAATATAAAACAAATAAAATTTAGTCTATTCTAAAAGGCACTAAATTAATATTGCAACTATAATCAATCAATAAAGAAAGAATGGAATCCTTCAGCTTTGTACATCTTCAGTTTCTACACTGTTCGATCACTCGTGAATGACCAGAAACGTCATGTTTAGGAAGTGATTCATTGTGCCATGACAGAACAATATCATTTAGACCTATTTTCAGCTCCTTCCACTGCAATTCCCCACCCCCTCCGCCACCAACCACCTTCACCTCCACCAACCATAACTCACGCGCCACCTCCCAAATTTCCACCACCAAAAAAACCCTTCCCTTCACCAACCCAATTCCCCCGGCTTTCCGTCTCTCTATTCTGTACCCCAATCCTCCGCCAATTTTCACCACCGTTTCCTCGATTTCCTCCACCTCTGAAATTGAAGTAAATCTCATCTGTTTACATTTCATTTCTGATTCAAACAGCCCAGATAAATCTAACCCAGAAGACATCGAAATTATGTCGAAAGCATTGATTCTAGCCAAGTAATTGAACTCTTGATCGAAAAGTTGATGCTCATGTGAAACCAAATATTCTTGCGGAAATGACATTTTGAACCAAGGAAGTGTGATTAACTGTTCGAGACTCAACCTGGTTTTGGGTTTGGGATCCAACAAGCGGAATATAATATTCTTTGCGGGTTTTGAAACCCACGGAGGGAATTCAAATGCGCGATGGTGTATTGCACGGTACATGTTTGCTAAATTTCTGTCATCAAAAGGAATGCTGCCCACAAGAAATACGTACAAAAGAACTCCACATGACCACGCATCAGCCTTTGATCCATCATATCCTTTGCGATAGACTACTTCCGGTGCGGTGTATGCCGGTGTGCCGCAGGCTGTGTATATTAGGCCGTCTTTTTTCTGCTCCGGCAGGGCGGAGAGTCCGAAATCTGTAATTTTCAGGGACCCTTTGTTATCAAGGAGTAGATTTTGTGGCTTGATGTCGCGGTGGGTTATGCCGTTTTGGTGGCAGAAGATGAGGGCGGAGACTAGCTGGTGGAAGTAGCGTCGTGCGGTGGATTCGGAGAACCTGCGCTGGCGGCTGAGTTTGGTAAAGAGCTCACCACCGGGGGCGAGCTCCATGACTAAGTAGATTTTGGTTTTGGTGGCCATGACTTCGTGGAGTTTGAGGATGTTGGGGTGATGGTCGAGGCGGCGCATGGCTGAGACTTCACGAATTATGCGTGGCTCCATGGCGGCGTCCACTGTGGTGGCCTTGTCGATGACCTTGATGGCTACATCTGAATTGTCATCTAATGAGGTAGCATGGTATACTTTCGCAAAGCTGCCACGGCCAAGTAGGCGGCCAACTTGGTATTTTTCTAGTATTATTGAGCCGCTGCCACCAGAACTGGCGGTTCTTGTGATTTTGGTGGCCGAGGAGGGTGGTGGTGGGGATCTTTTGGGGTCCATGCCACCGGCCCCGGTGGTTGGTGGCTGGGGTGAGTGGAGTTGGTCTGTCACAGAGGGGCTTTGTGTGTACGGGATGAAACTGCTATATATATTAATTTACTCAACGGCTGGATCTAATGTCCTTTTCCAGGATTTGGACCTCATAAATTATAGTAATTTATTCAACGGCTGTCATGTTTTCAACAATAATTTTTTTTCTAACGCTGTTTTAATAACAATTAATTATATGTTAATTTGGAAATTAGTGGCAGGCCTAATGATTAATTTTAATTTAATTCAGCAATTAATTAGGTGGGGGTGGGCCACCACTTTTACTAAAAAGAAAAACAGTACTAGGTATTATATAATTGGAAATAAAATGATTTTATGTGTTTTTAATTTTTGTTCATATTCTTTCTTTAATTTATTTAGTCTAATGTATTAACATGTCTATACTAGATTTATTGGCAGCATTTTATAACCATTTTTTCTCAACGAGTGATTTCTTGCCAGGATGTTCTAACCAAATTTTCTAAAAACGGATATATTGCAATCACGATTTTTATTAATTTCTTTTTATATTTCCTAAAATGATATAAATCGACTATATATATATATTCACTCTTTTTTAGATCATCTAATTTTAGATGATTTTATTTAGAAAAAATAACATATAAAATTCTTGATAATACTTAAAGCCCCTAATAAAATTATTTTAATAAGTTATTTCTTGTCAATTGAATTTATAACATAAAGATGGGAAGCTATTAAATATAGGAGATATGTGCCAACAAGTGTAGGAGTAATACTAGTTAAGAATAAATTAAGGAAATCACGATACATGAGGTCGAGACATTTTAGGGACCTTCTTTGAGTAACGAAAAACAAGTCAAAAGATTAAAATGATTTGTGATTGTTAAGTGTCTAGTTGTTTCAATTTTTGAACAATCTAGCAATTGATAGGAAAAAGTGTTGAAAATGATTGACACGACCAACTACAAATCGAGGAGATTTTTTATTTTTATTTTTCTCAAAATATATTTTTCTAATTTCTTCTTTTCAACTACACATTTTTCATTAAAATAATATTACACGCGAATAAAAAAAAAATTGCTTCTTTTTTAATCACATTCTCCATCAATCTACTATTTCAAAATATATTCTTCAAAAATAATGTGGCTCAAACATTCTGCGAACATGGGCGGTCCTAGGGGGCCAAGGTCCCCCCAAACTTTTGATAAAATTTTTTTATATATAAAATCGTGTTTGGTATCAATTGAAATCTAAATTTTAATCTAAATCAAAGTTAACAATTAATTTTAATTACATATTTTATGGAATCCATAATTGTTTAACTTCTATCAAAATTTACTAAAAATTTGATTTTAATCTCCGCCAAATATGGGCAAAATCACAATAAATTTGAATTTCGATAACATGCTAATTTTAAAAATTATCTGACAATCGTACGTTAATCGAATCTGCAGATTGCTTATATCATCTCAAAACTTA